TTCCCTAAGTTAAATCAGTTTACGAGTTTTGAGTTTGTGTTATCGCGTTCTTGTTCTTTCGACAATTTTCGGTGTCTCAAGACCAGTATTTGCCATCCTACAATACAAAGCGTGATATAAATATTTCCATGACTCACTATATATATATAGTATATACTTTATTTGATTTAAGTTTGGCAGTAATCACAAATAAAGAGTATTAGTGATTTAAAGATATACAATTTAGTATCACTGTAAAATTTTGTTCGCAATTAAAATCGTTTTAGAAGAAACTACTACAGTTCGATGAGGTCTTTTGCAACTTGCTTCCAATGGTCTATATTCGTTTATTTGTAAATTAAAGTTTATGAAGATCAAGAACAAACCTAATATACTACATCCGAATGTAGAACATATAATTTCAGATGGATGTACAAGTGACCGAATTTAATACGTGTTCTCCTTAATGTTCGTCACATATTCTCCCAACTAAAACGATTGTCCTTCTTTTAAACACTTGAACTGAAACATTTAAACTTTCAAGTCGTACAAATCTACCGAATAAAAGCAAAGTTTCTGAAAGAAGTTAAGGTAAAATAATGGGACATAGAGATTTCTGAAATATTTCCCACTGACGTTCATACAGTTATAAAGACTTTTAGCCATAGTTTACTCGGTTAATTATTCCAAAGAAAACAAAAAATGATGTTAGAAGCAAGAAAAGAGAAAAAGGAAATTTAAGTGAAAACGTAGGATCTCAGCTTTAGCAAATTTGTAGAGAAGTATGTATTTCTTGAAGAATATCTCGCAACGTAACACAGGTGTAAGAAGACTTCGCTCTAACCGTCTAATTAATTACTCGTTGAAGTCATCTCAGAGACATCTTGACACAGCCTCACATTTTCGATAATAAGAAAAATACGAATTTCCTATTTCTTATAATTGTTTTAGAAAAGGTGGCAATATACGGGGTGGATCATTTAACCACGACTATTTCGATTATTTTAGTTTTTAATAAATTGATTTTTTCTGCTTTTAGTAACACAATTAACTTATCAAAACTCAAATGCCATTATTCGTTGGCTATTCTTTCACAGTCTACCATTTACAAAATGATTTTTTATCGTTTTTCCGTATTTTCTATTCCTTATTGTTTCTACGTATGCATTCCGCGGTGCATGCGAATTATTCTGTCTTGGCATACCTCAAGGTGTCGTGAGATCGGTATTTCGAAGGTTTTATACCACGATCGCAAAGAAAGTCTATTTTCGAGTTTAAATATTAAAATATTGGGGAGGGGGTAATAAACAAGATATTTTTTAGAATTTCAATTTCTTCCGCGCTCAATAGTTCTGTAATTCTGTAGATTAATTAGTTCCCAATAATTCCGAAGGGTTATTTCGAAGTGTCTCTAACGGTGTCAACTACCGATGCTTGGGACCTGGAGGAATGCTACAACCTTTGGTAAAAATCCTGAACCACATACCAGCTCGATATCGCTCCACCCGAATCAAGAGAAGGCGCGCCAAGGGTGCATAGAAGGGTGATCGCGACATTTAGAATGTCGTTAATGGGAAAATTAACATTTCGAGAAATAACTAATCAGCGTATATCCCGAACATGCCAAGGCGAGGAACCAAGAGCGGCCAAAAAGCTCATCAGAGAGAACTTATAGAGAAAACAGTTCACTTTAAAATCCAACCCAGTCCACACACAAAGTCAGTTGTTTTTAGTTCAAATCACATAGTCTTAGAGCAGACCACATCTCTTCAACATTGTCGTGTCAGCGTAATGGGCCTTACAACCCCGAGTAACTCAGAACGTGAGAGTTGCAATGTTCCGGACGTAATAGTATGCGTGTTTAACACTAGAACTATCAATCCAGTCAAAATGACTGGTCCAAGAATTCTTTTTGCAATGCTTTAAGAATAAAATTGGTATCAACTCATATTAAGAAAGAACTGTAATCAATATATTCAGTCATATTCATCGTACCGCTGAAATTACTATAATCTATGCCCGTTATAGTTAGGTACCCATTAAAGATCGGTAGTTCTAGTATTAAGAAATTATTTATAACTGATTTTATGAAACGATATAAATATTATATTTTTAGAATTATGTTACGTTTAAATATATAAACGTAAATACATAAACTGTGCGATAACAAGGATTTTGCAATCTATATACTGTGTTAAGCCTTGGAATGTCGTTCGTTCAGCCCTTTGTTTAGAATAGACCCAGAAGACCGTTAGGGTCTTCTGGCAGCCAGATTCTAATTGCTGTTTTAGTTCAAGTTCCATGTCCTTCCTATCTTCATTTTTAACGCATTTTCAAACAATTCTTTATTTCCCTCGGGTCACCGAACACGAGGTTTTCTTTAGCCATTAATGTTAGAAAGCAAGCAACAGCACTTAGGATTTGGCTGAGAATAGGCCTGCAAAGAAAGGGATCAGGCCATGTGCGATGTCGCGACTTTCGGAACCATAAAGTAACGGGTCCTTCAGGAAGGATCACGAATGTACGGGTGACCCACCAGCAACCCCCTTTGAGGGAGAGGCTTCCTCCACCGGCAGACCTGGTCGCGGAAGACGGTCCTCCCTTCTTTGGGGGCATCTGATTCGCGGACCGAGGGCCCACCCTCGGTCCTGTCAACCACCAATGGGAAAACCGATTTCCCTTTGGAAACCATGGGCTCCGAAAGATCGTGCATCGCACAAGTTAGTTAGGTCAGTATCAGTCAGTCAGCAAATAACATTCGAAGAGTTCAGAAGAGTTATCCGCAACTATTACACAACCTTCCTCAAGAAATTTGGTTGGCGAATTTGATAGCGGCGACTGTGTCCGTGATCGCTCTCGATCGTTCCACCTCCGCACACGTGTCTCGTGACAGTTCGTTGACGACTCTCGACCGAGTAAAAGATTGACGGGTGGAGAATAAATTTTTTGAGATAAGAGGTCTTTTATTAACCGTTTGTGTCCCGAGCAGCGCGATCGCGCTGTTCAGATTTCATGTCGAGAAGACCCAGTACCTTTCGAGCGTTCTTAGCTGAGCGCGCGTCACCGACTGTCGGGTCGAAGTGCTATCGCGCCACTTGGCCAATCATCGCCATAATATAAGCGAAGCGCTATCGCGCCGCTTGGAACATCTCGACATAAAATAGAAGAAGCGCTATCGCGCTGCTTGAGTCTTCTAGTACACACTTAGAGGCAGCGCGGTTCCGCTGCTTGGGGTACCTCGACAGTGTTTTTTCAAAACCCTCTGGGACTCAAACGGTTAATTATAATGCGATCCCTTCGGTTCCCCAAACCACACCTCCTATAATATAGTAGGTTAGTTGAAGCTTTACTTAAAAAATAGTATTTATAATTAATATTTATGATTTACTAAATTTACTAATAAAAGGAAAAAGAAATGCAAGCTTCTTAAAATTACTTCGTAAGGAATAGAATGACAGATTGGAAGTGTACACACGCGTTATCAACAACAATAACGATAACAATTTATTCGTTTCTAATCACACAGATTTGACACTGGATGTTTGTTAACGATCTGAAGATACTGATCGTTTCATAACGCGGAACTGCAAGAGACAAACGCACTTGCTCGCAAACCCGGGGTAAGACTTCAGATTGGTCAACGACCAATTAACTACCGATGGGCTAAAAACCAATTATCTGAGTTGCCGTAACTCGATTAACTTTGGATACTTCGAGTGCTTCGAACAATATCTATGCTTATGTCTATGAGTAAAGGAAAAGATAAGAGAGACAGTAAAGAGAGAAAAGAACTGTAGATTCCCAAGAGAAAAATCGGACTTGCGAGGGAAAGCAGAAACAGCGGGAAAGGGCAATACAATAGAAAATGAAGAGGTCGCCCGGGATTGGCTAGAAATTGCGCAACCGGCCCAGGCAAATTCTTGAAAGAAACATCAGGGATGGAAAGGGAAATCAGAAGGCAAATGTATTCCGATAATCAGGCTCGTACCGAATTTGGGCAAAAATAGAAATATACAGAAAGTAAAAGAAAGGAAACTACCCGCGATAATTCATGCTTGTCCTTCGACAAGGGTATAGTGGAGGTATCCTAGCCGCCACAGTTTTAATAGTTAAATTAAGTATGACACGGGGTATATTTATAAACAAGATTTCCGGTAAAAAAATTCTTGAAATGTTAATAATTTTATCCGTTTCACACTTTCCTTTTAGGTTTATTAATCATTTAACTGATTTCTAATAATTTAACGAGTGGAAGTAACTATCTACGGCCATTCTATTTCCCAATTACTGAAAATAAGCAACCGCTGTTGACAAATTTAACGTGAACTTTTACTTGAAAATATAACAATATATTTATTTGTGTTATTTTCACCATACTATTGTAATTATTATTAGCACGAATTATAATTATATCTATACTACAAATAGGTACAATTCGGTAGTTCCAATGTTACATATATAATAACAAAGAAAGTATAAAAATTATAAAAGCACAAAAACATCTCACAAGAAAAAAACATTTTAAGCCTTCAAGGATGAAGTATGATCCCTAATTCGCTTCCTATATTTTGCGTAATATAGGGTTTTAAGATGAATTAAGATCAAATGTAACTTTCATATATTTTTCGAAGAGATCCAATTTGCAAAATTAATTAGCAATATTTCTACTTAGCATAGTGTAATAGATATTAAAACATTTCTCTAGACAATGTTAGATGTCAAGAGAATTCGTACAGTACACAGACATCGTCCTCGAAGTGTTAGAAGAAAATGAATTAAAAGGATGAAAGTATTTCCGAAGCTTACCTTTACAGGGTGTGGATCAACAGCATATGTATCCAATTGCGATGCTAATCTAAGGAAGTGAGTTTCCGCTTGCTCCGGAGTGAATCCCTTCAATTCTGTTTGATGTAGTTTCATAGCTTTTTCTTCGATAACCTCCGTCTGTTTAAGCAGTAATTTGTGCTCGGAAATGTAGTTTCCTTCGTGAATTTTAGGTTCGTAGTCTCCTAATTCGCCTAAAAATAAAAATCATAGATTATCATTAAAGTAGTTCATAAACTTCGTGTTAATATCGTTTCAAGATTAAATATTAAAATCGTTTTAATAATCCTAATTAAATAATAAAATCCTATTAATAATCCTAATAAAGCACATTCTAATAAACATATGCATATATCGATATACATAAACATCATTTACCATTTTCCTTTTTCATACATATATGTATAATGTATAGTGATGTATATTGATCTTTCCTGATATAAATGTAAGAGTATATTTATTGAATGAGTGAGTTGGGTTAAACTAGACAGGTTTTCAGACAGTTTAGGTTTATAGTGGACATTTACCAGTGAAAATTTGAGAAACTTTAGGATATGTTCTGCAGATGTGTCGGTATCCCAAACAATCGTTAAAAACACCATTTATATACCTAGGCTCACTCCTCGATATTCAGGCATGATGTCAGTGCACTTTCGTAACAATGTCTACAATGTGAGGAAGTCGTCAGAGAGAAAGGCGAATAGCATAAAAGGTGACTGCAAAACGCAATTAGGATTCTTTCGGATGCTCCAGAGTTGCTTGAGGCAAGCTAAATAAAGAAACGCCCAACAATGAAATTACCAGTTAATATCCGCCCTTTCCTCAATATAAATCCTTTCATCAAGTACACGTGATATACTTTAACTCTTTGCAGTCCCAGATGAATTCGACACTTTATTCCAACTGGTTCATAATCAAGTAGCAACTTGGAAACGCTACATAAAATTTGATTCTAATTTTTTATTTAAATAATCAATAACGTATCTATGTTGGTGTATTTTCATCAAAGTAAATTAAAACACAGAAGACTATATTCTTATATTTTTTAATATACAAATACTAGAAAGAAACGAATGAATCAACATATTGAATCTAATTTGACACACAACCGCAAACGATTAATGATAAAAATGTCTAATCTTAGAAAATTCACGATTTACTTTTATTATTTTATTATATAATAATTCTCGCTTTATCGTCTGCGCTTCAATATCATACCAAGACGTTTATTTAGATAGATGATTTTCGAGAGATTGACTAATGGAAGAAAAAGAAACGAATGTGAATCATATCTGAATTCTATGCAGCAGTAAGAATGGGATTTGGCTAATATTTTAGACACTAAAGCCAACCCAAAAATATTGCAAAGGAAAATTCGGTTGTCTTCGACGTATTCTAAAACCATAATAATCGGGGAAAACTCACTCAATTCGCAACTTGAAATACGCGTGATCAGTTACCGTGACTTATGTTATTAGAGCTGTTATCGGTTGATTCTCTCACACCTCAGGTATGGTTGTTGAAAATTCAAGGCAGCGCGATTGCGCTGCTTGGGGTACCTCGACAGTGTTTTTTCAAAACCCTCTGGGACTCAAACGGTTAATTATAATGCGATCCCTTCGGTTCCCCAAACCACACCTCCTATAATATAGTAGGTTAGTTGAAGCTTTACTTAAAAAATAGTATTTATAATTAATATTTATGATTTACTAAATTTACTAATAAAAGGAAAAAGAAATGCAAGCTTCTTAAAATTACTTCGTAAGGAATAGAATGACAGATTGGAAGTGTACACACGCGTTATCAACAACAATAACGATAACAATTTATTCGTTTCTAATCACACAGATTTGACACTGGATGTTTGTTAACGATCTGAAGATACTGATCGTTTCATAACGCGGAACTGCAAGAGACAAACGCACTTGCTCGCAAACCCGGGGTAAGACTTCAGATTGGTCAACGACCAATTAACTACCGATGGGCTAAAAACCAATTATCTGAGTTGCCGTAACTCGATTAACTTTGGATACTTCGAGTGCTTCGAACAATATCTATGCTTATGTCTATGAGTAAAGGAAAAGATAAGAGAGACAGTAAAGAGAGAAAAGAACTGTAGATTCCCAAGAGAAAAATCGGACTTGCGAGGGAAAGCAGAAACAGCGGGAAAGGGCAATACAATAGAAAATGAAGAGGTCGCCCGGGATTGGCTAGAAATTGCGCAACCGGCCCAGGCAAATTCTTGAAAGAAACATCAGGGATGGAAAGGGAAATCAGAAGGCAAATGTATTCCGATAATCAGGCTCGTACCGAATTTGGGCAAAAATAGAAATATACAGAAAGTAAAAGAAAGGAAACTACCCGCGATAATTCATGCTTGTCCTTCGACAAGGGTATAGTGGAGGTATCCTAGCCGCCACAGTTTTAATAGTTAAATTAAGTATGACACGGGGTATATTTATAAACAAGATTTCCGGTAAAAAAATTCTTGAAATGTTAATAATTTTATCCGTTTCACACTTTCCTTTTAGGTTTATTAATCATTTAACTGATTTCTAATAATTTAACGAGTGGAAGTAACTATCTACGGCCATTCTATTTCCCAATTACTGAAAATAAGCAACCGCTGTTGACAAATTTAACGTGAACTTTTACTTGAAAATATAACAATATATTTATTTGTGTTATTTTCACCATACTATTGTAATTATTATTAGCACGAATTATAATTATATCTATACTACAAATAGGTACAATTCGGTAGTTCCAATGTTACATATATAATAACAAAGAAAGTATAAAAATTATAAAAGCACAAAAACATCTCACAAGAAAAAAACATTTTAAGCCTTCAAGGATGAAGTATGATCCCTAATTCGCTTCCTATATTTTGCGTAATATAGGGTTTTAAGATGAATTAAGATCAAATGTAACTTTCATATATTTTTCGAAGAGATCCAATTTGCAAAATTAATTAGCAATATTTCTACTTAGCATAGTGTAATAGATATTAAAACATTTCTCTAGACAATGTTAGATGTCAAGAGAATTCGTACAGTACACAGACATCGTCCTCGAAGTGTTAGAAGAAAATGAATTAAAAGGATGAAAGTATTTCCGAAGCTTACCTTTACAGGGTGTGGATCAACAGCATATGTATCCAATTGCGATGCTAATCTAAGGAAGTGAGTTTCCGCTTGCTCCGGAGTGAATCCCTTCAATTCTGTTTGATGTAGTTTCATAGCTTTTTCTTCGATAACCTCCGTCTGTTTAAGCAGTAATTTGTGCTCGGAAATGTAGTTTCCTTCGTGAATTTTAGGTTCGTAGTCTCCTAATTCGCCTAAAAATAAAAATCATAGATTATCATTAAAGTAGTTCATAAACTTCGTGTTAATATCGTTTCAAGATTAAATATTAAAATCGTTTTAATAATCCTAATTAAATAATAAAATCCTATTAATAATCCTAATAAAGCACATTCTAATAAACATATGCATATATCGATATACATAAACATCATTTACCATTTTCCTTTTTCATACATATATGTATAATGTATAGTGATGTATATTGATCTTTCCTGATATAAATGTAAGAGTATATTTATTGAATGAGTGAGTTGGGTTAAACTAGACAGGTTTTCAGACAGTTTAGGTTTATAGTGGACATTTACCAGTGAAAATTTGAGAAACTTTAGGATATGTTCTGCAGATGTGTCGGTATCCCAAACAATCGTTAAAAACACCATTTATATACCTAGGCTCACTCCTCGATATTCAGGCATGATGTCAGTGCACTTTCGTAACAATGTCTACAATGTGAGGAAGTCGTCAGAGAGAAAGGCGAATAGCATAAAAGGTGACTGCAAAACGCAATTAGGATTCTTTCGGATGCTCCAGAGTTGCTTGAGGCAAGCTAAATAAAGAAACGCCCAACAATGAAATTACCAGTTAATATCCGCCCTTTCCTCAATATAAATCCTTTCATCAAGTACACGTGATATACTTTAACTCTTTGCAGTCCCAGATGAATTCGACACTTTATTCCAACTGGTTCATAATCAAGTAGCAACTTGGAAACGCTACATAAAATTTGATTCTAATTTTTTATTTAAATAATCAATAACGTATCTATGTTGGTGTATTTTCATCAAAGTAAATTAAAACACAGAAGACTATATTCTTATATTTTTTAATATACAAATACTAGAAAGAAACGAATGAATCAACATATTGAATCTAATTTGACACACAACCGCAAACGATTAATGATAAAAATGTCTAATCTTAGAAAATTCACGATTTACTTTTATTATTTTATTATATAATAATTCTCGCTTTATCGTCTGCGCTTCAATATCATACCAAGACGTTTATTTAGATAGATGATTTTCGAGAGATTGACTAATGGAAGAAAAAGAAACGAATGTGAATCATATCTGAATTCTATGCAGCAGTAAGAATGGGATTTGGCTAATATTTTAGACACTAAAGCCAACCCAAAAATATTGCAAAGGAAAATTCGGTTGTCTTCGACGTATTCTAAAACCATAATAATCGGGGAAAACTCACTCAATTCGCAACTTGAAATACGCGTGATCAGTTACCGTGACTTATGTTATTAGAGCTGTTATCGGTTGATTCTCTCACACCTCAGGTATGGTTGTTGAAAATTCTTTTCGCTGCTATCTTTATATTTTTAATTTCAGGTCAATTTTAGATAAAATTTTCTTCGCGATCATCGGCAGATATACGTATAAAGGCCTGAAAATTAAGGTGGCCCTGTCTTGATTACCCACCGATCTTACGCGGTGTCTGATCTTGTTAGACAGACTATAAAAATGGAGGTAGGAATCTGCGATGTGACTGGGAACGTTAGGTTACAATTCGGTAATATTGACGAAAAGGTGCAAAGAAAATATATCGCATTGATCGAGGAATTTCGTTGCTAAGTGTCATTTTTGATGTATGATTTAACGAAAGCGATGATGTATCACTCATATCGTCTTACAGAACCTGAAAAGCACATCGTTCGCGGAATTATTCAGAACCTAATGGATAATAGGATTGTAAGAGGCTCGGATTCATTATATGTGAGCCCGATTACGTAAGCGAAAAAGATTGTCGAAAACTTAACGTTATTACGCGGGAAAAAAATTTCATGAATTGATGATCAGATTTATCAGCTACGAGGTTACGAGTATTTTACTCGACTAGATCGTGACTAAATTATGGTTTATAAGAATGCCGTTTGATTTGACGAATATCCTGGCTGTGTCCCAATGGCTGATGCACAATGTTTCAGGAACACTTAAGAACTGCATTGCTCTCTCGTAGTTAGCCGACATCATAATACTACATCATTTTTAATTAAAGCTTCGTTCCTCATATTCAACCCATTATACATAGTTCCTATAAATCTCTCGAGTTTATAAAGCGTTGTTCCATGGACTTCAAATGTATTCGCTCTATTAAAATTCTATACTGTATGGCTACACTCAAACTCGAATATACTTCAGTGATTTGATTTCCAAATCACGCTACACGTAGAGGTCCTATAGGAGGCCTTCAACGCAAAATTTTAAGATTTGCGTATTATAATAATCGAATAAGGAATTATATGAATTTTTATAATTATTTTGAACTCTCGCAGAATTATAGCTAATCTACTGTATCTACACAAGAGTTTAAATGGAATTATTCATCGTCCGTAACTTCTGAGTAATATCAATCTGTATGCTCCTACGAAAAATTGAAAGTGCAGAAGTAGATAAGTTTGTGTTTTTAAAATGTGTATATAATTTAAAAAATGTTTCGTGTTCAGAATTAAAACGGAATCTGAGATGGTTACGCAAATTTATTAAACACGTTATCGTATATTTATTGATTATCGTATTTGACTTTGCATGGAGTCGCTGTATACTAATGAGTATAGTCCAGTAAATTAAATAAATAAATAAATAACACTGTCGCGCACAGTTGAGGGGGGTATAGAAAGATTATAGAAAGACTAAAAAGGTATTAGATGCTATACGAGCGCGTGGACTGACTTAGAAACTGGAAAAGTACTCCTGTTTGAAAATAAAGATTAAATATCTCAGGAGAAAAATTAGCGAGGAAACTGTTTAAGCTGGTCAACGAAAGATCCAGGCTGCGAAGCATATGAGACGACCAACGATGAATAGGAAAGTGCGAGAATTTCTATAATTAGCCAGATTCTTCACTAACCAAGTTAGTCTGCGACTTCGCGACAATTACAAAAGCAATTACGCGATTAACAAGGAAAAATATTGAGTAACATTGAGAAAGAAACAGTCAATTTTAAGAAAATAAAAAGAAAATCGCGAACGGTATTATTAATTTTTAATCTGAAATTGCATACAGACGCGAATTCATTAGGAGTAGGAGCAATACTTACGCAACGAAAAGAAAACGGTGACACGTTTATTGTTACCTATTTTAACAAACAAAGAATGGAGGGTCAACGACATTATCATTCGTACGAGTTAAAAATGATGACGGTAGTATTCGCGTTGCGATATTTTCGGATTTATTCATTAGGGGTTCTTCTCAAAGCAGTGACCGATTATAATGCTTCGAGGACAACATTTTCAAAGAAAGACTCGTTACTTGAAAGGCACGGTAGTAGTGACAGGTGTGAGAATTTACTTTCAGCACCGAAAGTCGAGGAGTGACAAAATTGGCTCATGTGAAGATCCTGGGGGTCAATGATCGAAGGTCGGTGACTGAAGCTATTTTAGCACATTCGCCATCACCACTTTTTCAAAGAAAAAGTCGCTAACACAGCCTACCTTGAACAAAAAGTAACTCGTATGTTAGCAGCGGTAAATCTGTAAAGAATTACAATAATTAAGGAAAACGTGTTATAATACCGGAGTAGATATAATCTCTCATTATTTACACTACGCAAAAGCACCTCCGATGTGAATAAATAAAACTGCACCTACTTTTTTGCCGGGGATTGAAATTCAGTTTCTGTCACAGATATGTGAGGTTGAGCCTTGGATAAAACTTAGAATGTCAAGGGTATGTCACGCGTGGTAGCGAACGTGCTAAGAAATATGGTCTGAAGAATAACAAAATATATTAACGGATAAAAGAACAGTGGGGCAGTATCGAAAAACGCGAGGTTCCAGATATATTGACTATGCCATGGCGACACTGAGTATTTAATGTAGAGAAAACACTAAAGCGTATTAAGCTGAATTAATTACTTAGATGCAAATTTACAGTTTCATATATTATAGACGTACAGCTGGGAAAAAGCAGTGTAAATTGGTTAATATCGAAAAGCTGCCAATCCCTTTTCACGCTATTCACGTTAACTATGCGGGTTCTTTCGAGGAAAAATTCAATAAATTGTCACTTATAATCGCCAAAATTAAAGTATAGATCACTATTCAGAGTTGTGACCATGGTGATTCGAAGTAAGAGTAACGGGAAGTAACGTGTACGGTAAGAGCCTGAATGTGCTTCAACGATTATGTTGTTGGGTATAAAGAACAGACTGATCACGAACGTGACTGATCACAGACGATCAAGGGTGAAGGTACCGAGGCAACTGACGTCTCGATGAAAGGGGTCATGGATTCCCCGCGTTACGAAGAACGGAGTTGGGGAAGCTGTGAGACTAAAGGATGATCGAAGATGATTGCATAGATCAGAAGACACACAAGCGTGTGAGATTACAGCAAAACTCCACGATTGACGTAGTTGGATCGTGGACCAGGGTCATAAGTTTGTAGATTAACCCCTTGACTACAGCAGATTTTGATACGTAATGACCGTACCATACGGCAGGAATTGAGTTACGATGTGCGCCATTTTTGTGAAAACATGCGCCCTCCGTGTCAGAAAGCCAAACTACGCCGAGCGCCTATAGGCGACCTTCGTGTTACAAACGCAAAATTTCTAAGCGCCTATAGGCGCCCACAGTAACCAAGGGGTTAATTGAGTGATGCCCAGAGTTACAACTGTTAGGTACTGTTGGATCGTTGTTCAAGGTCATTGTTTTTTTCAATTGGTTAGTTTGGTGTCCGGAGGTACAAAGTACGCTAAATGAATGATAGACTGGATACTTTTACAGAAGTACAATTTTTTTTAGAGATATAGCCTTTTTTAGAAGTGCAATTCTTTTACAGGAGTGCAGTTCTTCTATAAATTGCAAGATATAAGTACACACTGACTAGAGAGGAATGAACTATATCCTGATACAATGATCAATTATCTATATATTTATCCATCTCAGATGAGGGTCAAAAGGTTAGATGAAATTGTGAGTATTGGTTTTATGAGAGTAGCAGTGTTTGTTTTATATGTT